AAAAAAAAAAAAAAAGTAAAACTGTAAGGGTATTGGGAAAATTGGAGACAAGGTAATGGAAGTTTCCACTCAGTCAGATGGGTCATGGTAACATCAGATTAATATTTCATAGTGTCAGGTGTGGTGGCGCATACCTGTAATCCCAGTACTTGAGAGGCTGAGACAGGAGGACTGCCACAGGTTGGAGGCCAGCCTGGGCTACACAGTGCATTCAAGGCCAGCCTAAACTACATAGCAAGACCTTGCCTCAAAAAAAAACAAAAACAAAATTTGAAAGGGAATTCAGGGTAAATGTGAGGGGGGAAAAACCTAAGAAACCATGCCAACTGAGGTAATGACTAGAAGGCACAAGAGGTTTTGGGATGTTTCATAAAGGAGAATGGGCATGATTGGTGGCAGAAAGGAGCCAGAGATGACAGGCGGTTTCTAGTTTAGGCAGCCGCCACCCAGTGAAACGCGGGAACCAGGAGGCAGAGCGGTAGTTAGGGGTTAGGGTGAGTGGGAGTGAGTACCAGCGCTTGACCTGCTGAGTGTTAAGGACTTTCCAGGACATCCAGGCCAGATGGGAATTGTACTTGGAGCTGAGAGAGAGAGATTGAGAGACCCACTGACTCCCAGATCTTTAGGTGCTTGTCCCAAGGTAGACCGAGAAGAGTTTGTGAAGGGAGGGAAGCTGAGAATGGGCACCCAAGGAAGTTGGAAAGGGGCTCCTTGGGTAGACTGAAGGGACAGCCAGAGGTGCGGGAAATTGGATCAGTCTTGGACGATGAGGAGAAGACAATCACCAGGCATTAAGGAGTAGAAATCAGACGTGACTCATGCAGGGGAACTGCAAATGGTGCCTTGGAGCGGGCACCAGCCAGGGCTTGTGTGGCCTCCACAGCAGCACTTTCTGGAAAGTAGGGATGGGGACCCTGTGCCTTCATAGGAGGCTGCACTCAGTTCAGGAAAATTTTACCTTTAATATTGGCCCAGATTATCCATTTTGAAGTCGCAGCCAGTCTTAAGTCTAGCATAAGCCAGCATAAGTTTATTACTTATATTCTGAATTGTTTTAGTCGTTCTGTGAGATGGACCTTTTTATGTTCAATATTAATCTTCCCTTCCATAGCTGGTTCCCCTTCTTTTTTTTTTTTTAAATCCTCCTTACCTTTGCTGGGCTTTGTATAACCTCAGTTTTGTTTGATTGTGACTTCAGGTCAAAAGGTGTCCTCCATCTAAGAAGAGAACCCAGTCCGTACAAGGAAAAGGCAAAAGGTAACAGATTTTCCCCAGTTAGCTACGCTTTGGATTTATTGGAGAGCTCTGTATAGCATGGCACAAGTTAACTGCTGCTGGCCTAACCAATACCCTCTCCAGTGCTTCTGCCACATTCTCTGACTTTCCCTACTTTCTTGTTGATTTATTTTGTTTGCAGTACCAAGAATTGAACTCGGCCTGCTGAGCTACATGGCTAGCCATTTTTGCTTTTTAACCTTTAGATAGAATCTTGCTTGCCTATACAGGACTCAAACTTACAATCCTCTTTCCTCCTGAGTAGCTAGGATTCCAGGAATATGCAGCTTCCCCTACTTGTTTTCAACCTAAACAGAGAAAATAAAGCTCAGAAGAATATAGTAGGGACTGCATGTTATGTTGACTTACTTGGCAGTCTGTGTACAGCCACCAGAATTAGCCACAAAGTGGCTCCCTCTCCCATAATCAGTTTTTTTTTTTTTGCCGGTTGGGGGGGGGTGCTCAGCCCACCCTGAGGGTGGGGCTGGCGTGGCATGTGGTGCTGGGGATCGAACTGCGGTCCCTTAAGCTTGCCTAAGCAGATGCTTTAGCCTGCTGAGCTGTCTCACTGGCCCCATAATCGGTTTCTTGAAATTATCTAGGTCCATGGGCTTGAATTGATTATGCTGCACTTCACCACAAACAGTTTGCGAGCACAGGGACACCACTTAGGAAGAGAGGCACCGAGATGCATGCATTTCTGAAGGAGAGAGCTCCTTCCTCAGATGCAGGAGGCAGCAGAACAGGCACAGCTGCCTTGTGAGAGGGCGAGATTGCCAGCTGGGAACCTTTACATTGCCACATCATTTCTTCAGCTTGGGAGTCCAGACTAGAGGTAGAGGGCTTGGGGTCAGCGTCTGGCTCTTCACTAGCTGGATCTGTGATCTTGGGCAAGTTCTTTAAACTCTGTGTCCCTGAGTTTCCCTATCTGTAAATCAAGGCATGACTAGCACTTATCCCTGAAGGTGGCTGGGAGAGTCAATGTCTGCATGATCAGCACTCTCCATGTGTTCCCTTCCTTCTGCTGTTGTACCTGAAGGTTGACATACTAAATGCCTGTTTCTTACCTGTAGGTCCAGCTATGACAACCTCGTGACCCCAGCTGTGGGCCGGTTGGAGTTGTCTATGGTGAAACCAACTCCAGGCATGACACCCCGGTTTGACTCTAGGTGAGCAACGCTTGGCTGCAGGTGGGAGCCCTGCAGTAAACAGCACTCAGAATCAGAGAAGGAGTGTTTCAGATGGGCTCCCGAGCCTCGGTCTGGTAGCCATGTTGGTTTCCCACTGGTTGCAGTAGCACAGTGATTCTCTGTCTGATTAGAGAAAGGAGGACCTTCTGTCTGTTGTGACTAGGAAAGCTCTGTGCGATTCCTTCAGCCTCTGTTTTCCTGTCAGAAGTTCTTCAAAGCTGGGCAGGCGTTTGCCTATACCCTCACAGGAGTGAGACCAGATGCCACCTTTCTGGAGGCCAACATGAATGCGCGTGTTGACAGCCCTAGATAATACATTCTGCAGGGCTGGTTGAGCCACTAGAAAGGGCCATCTAGTCCTTACAAGAAAGACTGGATGTATGTGGCCTCCAGGGCAGAAGCTGCGTGGGTACAGCCCCTGCAGGCAGGTTGCTGGACAGTGCGTAATGTACAGTCCCATTTGCTTATACACATGGAAGTTTTCTGGAAAATACAGTAGGGATTAAGAGTGGTTACCTGGAAAATGGAGCAAGAAGTGGTTGCCGGGGGTGGAGACAGCGAGGAATACTTTCTAGTTTTAATGCCCACTTTTAGTCATCTGAGCATGTAGCAAGAGACATTGAAGGGAAAACAGGAGCTACGCTGTAAGCATTGAGCAAGTTAGTTTGGAAATTAGTACAGTGATGCAATCAGCCTCATCTTCCTTTGACCCTGGGAAGTTCCTCTTGATAGAGCACGTAGCCACACGTTAACCAGTTTATTTCTGGCTCTTGAAGGGTGGATGACTCGCACCCACTGCAGAGCTTTGGTCCTAAAATTTACACAGATAAGGGCTTACTTTCACTAGATGCATGTTTGATAATTACAACTTCTATTCTCCAGCTGTGTTTAGTCATTGTTGCTTTGAAGGAAAAAGTTTTCCCTAAATTTAGAACTTACTTGCTTAGAAATGTGTGATTTGAAAGCTGCAGCTTGAAACCAGCTCACTGTGGTATCATTCAGTCTGCAGACTCATCTTCACAGAGCTTTTCTGCTTTATAGGGTCTTCAAGACTCCCGGCCTGCGCACTCCAGCAGCCAGGGAGCAGATTTACAACATCTCCGTCAATGGCAGCCCTCTTGCTGACAGCAAAGAAATCTCCCTCACTGTGCCAGTGGGCGGCGGTGCGGTTAAGTATTGCCCCAGGAGCCAGGCCACCATGCACTGCTTACTAAAGTGTTTCTCTTCCCTGGGCACTGTCCACCTCTCTCCCTCACAGTCCTCTCAGTTACGTTGGTCCTGGTCTCCATCAGAACACAATTTTCCCTCATTGGAAGGCCCATCTGGGAAGGTGCCTGCCTGACTCAAAGTGCCATCTGCTCATCAGCTACTAGTGCCAGGGATTAGAGCGGGCCCAAAATGGAGCGATATGGTTCCTGCCCTCAGCTTCCCTCAATGCAGAAGAGCTAGGTCCTCAATTACAACATCTGTGATATGTGTAGTACTAGAGGTCTGAAAGCGAGTACAGAGGAAGGGACCTTAGTCTAACGGGCAGCTTGTGCTACATCTTCAAATTTACGATGTTTGGGGATTCTGAAGCATGCTGAGCCTGGTTTCTCTGGACTGAGAAGAGCAAGCTGTTGACCTCAGCCCTCATGAGAGGACAGTGGCTTATCTGAGTGTGTTCTGCGTGGCGTTCTAAGCTAGTGGGTGTGCCTTTGCACCCAGGTAATGCTGCCAGCAGCCACTAATAGCACTGCTGACATCATTATCTCCTCAGCGCTCATGCCTACCTTGCTACTTCTCCGTGTAGCCCATCCTTGGGTATCAGAGGGAGCCCTGAGGCATGCTGGGCTGCTGGGGGGACATTCCTGTCTGAGAAAGGACATGCCAGTTCAACCCGTTCTTTCTCATACAGAGCATGCGGCTATTGGCCAGTGACTTGCAGAGGATTGATATTGCACAACTGGATCCCGAGGCCTTAGGAAACATTAAGAAGCTCTCTGTGAGTCTCATATCTGCCACCACATGTAGAAGGCCTCTAGTGCTTCCTTGATTTAGCTCTTTAAGGTTGTTTTTTGGGTCTGGCCTAATAGATGATACTTAAAGCCTTGTAACCCCAAGAGATTTTTAATGTTTTTGTACTTAAACAACAGCAGCTTGGTCCCTGGTGTAGAGTTTCGGTCAATTCCCAAGTGCCTGGCACTGAAGTTATAAAACAAAATTCTACCTCAGTCAAGCAGTTGGGGCCAGGGTATGCCTGGGCCCTCCCTCACCACCAGCAGTTGGAACCCCATTATAGTAGCCAAGGAAGAGCTTGTTAAGAGTGATCCCACAGAATCCAAGAAAGAGCTAACAGCCAGGCCTTCAGAGTGCTGGGCACCACCTGCAGCTGAGCTTGTGGGAGTCTGCTGGTGTACCGTCTGTCACCCTGAGCCTCGTGTCCTACATGTGTTCACTGTCCCTCAGCACATCACCTCTCCATAGGGCCCTGCTGGCCCCTCAACACTGACTTGTATGTGCCTTTGTTGTTTGACTGGTCAACGCTGCTCAGTTTCCTGTCTTAGTTTAAATTCTCAAGAGGAAGAATTTATTGCCCAGCTTTGGTCTGATAAACCTCCCTGGTCCAGTTATCTGTGGTCTCAGGCATCTCTTGCTCATGTGACACAAACATGACACTATAGTCCCACCCTTTGTAGGGTCCATAAAGGGCCAAACTTGAGGAAGGGGGCAAGGGTAGAGCTGGGCTCCTACACCTGTACACACACACTAAGGTACAACATATACTCAGCCATGACCTTGTGTTATGTTTAAGCAGTATTGTTCCCAAATACTTGTATGATATCTTCACTACTGTCTCATTCAAGATATTTACTTTTGTTCAGATGAAAATTGAGTTTCAGAAAGGTTAGAAGGTGTGTGATGCAAACAGAAAGGGCCAGGTTCCCTCAGACTTGTTTTTAGGTAGACTGTAAGTGGCTGGCCAAGATATCTTCTTTAAATGACCTTCTGACCCTTCTTTTCAGAACCGTCTCGCCCAAATCTGCAGCACCATACGGACCCACAAATGAGAAGACAGCAGGGCATGCTGGATTGGGTTGGAACTTGCTTGTCTCCCCTCTCCCCTCCCGTTGCTCCTCCAGTGCAGGGGAAGGTGGGTTTACTAAGGGGACCCCTAGGACCTTTTCACTGCTGTGCTCAGCAGTTCTTGTCAGCCTGGTTTGTGGAACAGCATTTTATGCTTATTCCTGTTTATCGAAGACCAAAAATTGCTTGGAGGCAGCTTCCACATCTTGCACCTCTACCTCTCTAGTCAATGGGAATTTAGATAAAGACATTGTAGGGCTTACCGTGGTCTAGGGTTGTGTGTGTCAGTCACAGAGTGACTCTAAGCTCTCTGATCCTGTGGTCCTTGCTGAGTCTGCCAGCTGCCTTTGATGGGATGGGATCATGCAGAGGACAAGTGTAACTTGTCTGGCGACCCCACTCCACATGTTTAGCCTGTGCCCTGGGCAAGGACTAGTTACGTCAAGTCAGCAGGGAGACCTCTGTGCTTCAGCAGCCTCTGCCCTGAAGAATCATGTCCTGTGTTCCAAGAATTTGGGAATGAGCAGTCTCCTCCCAGGCTTGCGGGCACACAGCCTTCTTCTGTGCGGCTCTTTGTTATATTTTGTATTAGGTATTGAGTCCTGCACAAACTGAATTGTTTTCAAGTTGTTTTATTCTCCCTTTCCTAAGACTTGTACATACTCTCTTCCTGAGTAACGGTATCCTTGCTTTCAATAAATTCAGGTTTGGTTTTTAGTTAATATTTTCTGCTGTGCTACATGAACTGGGTGACAATATTGGAGCTAAAGCTATTAGAGTGGGAGTCACTGGACAATGCTTTCCCAGGAGCTATGAAAACCCTTCCTGTAGGCAAAATTTCTCTGATCCTGAAGGGAGTTCAGCCCCCAAGATCCAGGGTACTGTGACCTCAGCCCCCAAGCACATTTCCCCAACACCTTCATTTCAGGAACTAGGATACATTTACAAGGACAAAGTCAAGGCTGTCTTTGTCTTTCAGCCAGGACAAAGCAGGAGCAAGGGGACACGGTGGTCGTGCTGGTCACTCCAAGTTATCGGGTGCCGACAAACCTGCCTTCCTTGAGCTGCCCACACTGCATGGTCAGCTGGGAGCTGAGAGGGTCAAGGGTTCTCCCCATGGGACCATGAGTCGGCAAGGACAGTTACGGAGAAGCCCTTCAGTCAGTGACATTGAGTTCAGTGCAACAGAGTAACCACACCAGGGGCTTCTACCCCGCCTTCTACTGCAGCCCTAAGAACAGCCTGACTTCGGGAGTCACCTAGGACTGACGTGCTTTCCCCAGAGCCAGACTCACCGTAGTTCACGCCATCCACACCACTGGCAAGACAAACTTTGGAGGCTGGGCATGGTGGCGTATGCCTATAATCCTATCGCTCAGAGGATGAGGCAGGAGGATCACTTGAGTTTGAGACCAGCCTGGCTACAAAATGAACTCCAGGCCAGCCTGAACTGTATAGCAAGACCCTGTCTCAAAAAGAAAAAAAAGAGCAACCTAGTTGCAGGGGTGGGGAGATGGCTCAGTGGTATAAGTGCCTGCTTGGCAAGCGCAGGATCTTGAGTTTGATCCCCAGTACCACATGCCATGCCAACCACTGAAACCGGGAGTGGTGGCACACAACCTGTAACCCCAGAGCTGGGGAGGCTGAAACAGAAGGGTCACTAAGAGTCTGATCTGTGTAGCAAGACCTTGTACCAAATAAATATATAAATAAATAAATAGTTAAAACCCAAAAAACCTAGTTGCAGGAAATGCTTAGTATGCAACAGATGCTGGATCAATGCCTGAGTTAGGGCATTCCATGGTATAGAACAGGCCAAGTGTTCTTGTGTCTTTGTTGCTAGTTTTCTTGAAATAGGGTTACTCTGTAGTTTAGACCCACAGCTATCCTCCTGCCTCAGCCTCCAAAGTGCTGAGATTATAGGCGTCTCATCATGCCTAAATAGAAGCTAGTTTGGAAGCAAATTCCCCATCGCAGAAGCTTAAGGCTTAGATTGAACTATGTCACAGAATTGGGGTATTGCAAAGAAAATTTCAATCTTAAATTCCAGCCCAGAAGCATAATTTCACTTTTTTTTTTTGTATTTTATTAAGGGTCTACAGGGTCTCATTACTTAAATCGGACTCTGCCTGTGTTCAGCCTCCCAAGAGGGGATTACAGGTGTGCACCACCATGCCTAGTCTCAGTCACCTCAGTGCACCCCAGGGGCAGGGCACGCTGGGGATCGAACCTGGCCTCTGTATCTGCCTACATAATTTCACTCTTATTTT